ATAAAAAATTTTGCTGACATGGTGATCTCAGGTGAAATCATTGAGAATGCTATTAAAAATGACAAGTTGAAAAAAAAAAAAACCCAAAAAGCTACAAAAAAAGAAAGAGACTGAAGCTCAAGCCGTAAGCCTTGATAGACAGTTCAAGGGATATCAACCTTATCCACAAGGTTACGCCCCCATACTATCTTACTGTGAAAAATATCTCACATTACCCTTACCAACCATATCCACAACCAGCTTACTTACCAACTTACCAATCAACCTTTCAAATACCTGTATATGATTTTAGTCATATCATTACAATAGTTTCAAAGCCTAACAACCAAGCGAGTGGTTCAAAGATATCTCGGGATAATCAAGAAAGGGCACATGTTAACCCTATCCCAATGACTTACACTGAGTTATTCCCAGAACTGGTCAAGAATAACTTGGTATCTCTAGTTATTCTATGTACCAAGTTATTCTATAATCATTAAAGCCGCCCTATCCAAAATGGTATGATGTTAATGCGACGTGTGATTATCATAATGAGAACGTGAGTCATTTTATTGAAACTTGCCTTGCTTTTAAATATAAAGTGTAAAGTTTGATCCAAAAAGGCTTAATGAGTTTCGATGAATCAGGGGGTAAGATGTCAATAAAAGTCCTTCACTTAATTGCATAGGGGCATGATTTTAGATAAGAATGTCAAAGCTGGTTGGAAGCTATGTGTCATTTTAGGATTTCTTTTAAAGTAATGTTAGGATTTTTTTTATGTAATAGGATTTCATTTGTTATCATTTTAATAAAGGGCAAGGATAATGCATTTCATTATATTTTCTCTTTCATTCAATCACTGTTCCATTCTTTGTCACCTTTCATAACTTTTCATTCTCATTTTTGAACTCCAAACGATGAATGTTTAGATAATGATGCTAACAATAATTTTGAGATTTAATTTTGAGAACTCATTCACCTTGATCTAATGAGATCATTTAAGCAAAAGAAGCTAGCTACTAGCAGATATGGAATAGATATATCTTAGAAATGTGTAAAAATTTATAAGCTTATTTTTGTTCAATAGATGAAATTCAAGGAAAACATTCACATTTGAAATGAAAAATGACCATATTTCTTTTACCATTCAAAAAATCATTCATTGTTACCCCTTTGAGCCTATTATAATTTTTTTTCTAAAAAATCCTAACCAAGGATCACCCTCTATACTGTGGGGCTTTTTAAAAAAAAGTAAAAAAAAAATCGTAAAAGGTCTTAAAGATAGAAAGAAAGGAAAGAAAAAAAAGTAAAAAAAAAAAAAAATGAATGCCATACATGATTTGAGGCAAAATAAGAGGAATCTTTTTGTGAAGAATGAGATCGATGAAAAAAGAAAAAGTAGTGAAATGATGTAAAGTGGGGCAAAATGCCAAGTTGCATCAAATAATGAATGATCCTTTGGTTTTAAACCCTTTAAACACATATTTTGAGCCTATTTTATCCATTTCTTTCATGACCCCTCACCATGGCCTATATTACAACTTTGAAAAGTTCATTTGGATTAAGTGTGAATGCTCGAATTGAATGATCATATATTGGGCAAAAGCATGCTTATGATGGAATAATGGAATCATGTTATATTAAGATTAATGTGTGAGAGATATCAATAGTGGATGAAAGATGATGAAAAAGGAAAAAATGGATGAAAAAATGAAAATAAGAGAAAAATAAAAAAAATAAAAAAATAAGAGAAAAAAAAAGATGAAAAGAAAAAAGAAAACTCAAATTAAAACCGAAAGGGCAATTTGGGTAGACAAATATCTGAGCTAAAAATTGGATGAACAATTCAAATATATGAAAGATCAAGGCATCTAAAGATTTTTCAAAGCTGGGGCAAAGTTTGATGAGCTCAAAATGATTTTGACAGTCAATGAAATGAGTTTTTGAAAAAGAAACCTATATTAATGTTCATAATTGTTTGAATATTCATTGTTTGGATATACCACTCATCCCAATGATATGCATCCAACTTGTTTCTTTCTTCATTTATTTTTGTACCAAACTCATCTTCACTGATTACTTTTCTCCCAATTCACCAAGTGCTATTTTATTCTCATATCTCCAGAATGAATCAAGAAAATGTATGATTGCATTATCTTTGTCATGAATTAAAATGGTGATGAATGAATGATAATGTGCATAAAAGATTCGTGCATTCTTTTGAAAGAAATCCAAGATGATAAGGCAAAAATGATGAAGAGATTGCGAAAACTTGAGAAAATGACACATGAGATGGCCAAATGATGAACATGGGGATAAATTGCTTAACAAAATGAATAGAGGGTAAAAATCTAAAAAGATTATGTGATCAAGAGATGAATATGGTGATACCTGATGAGGATCAATGGGTGAAATTTATTTTGGAATGATTAGTGTTGAGAAACTTATGAATGGTGAATGAGTAACGAACATAATATGGAATTTCTAGTGCTGAAAAGCCTATGAATTATGATTAGGTGGTATGAAGCAATGGACAAAACTAATTTTGGAATTGTTAGTACTGAGAAGCCTGTGAATGGTAACCTAACGATGAAAGATAAAAACTTGTTTTGAAATTGTTAATGCTGAAAAACCTGTGAATGATGATCAAGTGATGAAAATGATGAGGATCAGTTGACGAAACTCGTTCTAAAATACTGAGAAGCTAAAATAAAAAATTACAAAATGGTGGGATCTTGAGAACCGTGGTACCACATTTTGATTAGGATTTCATGACATGGATATCTACATTACATGCATTGCATTTGCATTATTGTTTAGAGAATATTTGAAACTTTGGTTTGGCTATGCATATGCATTATGCAGTAAATATTTGAATCATGGTTGAGAATATGACATTGTGAGAATCTAGATTGTTGCATTTGCATCATTAAGAAAGCATTTGCACAATTGATAATGACATTCAGTACATACAAAATTTTGACTTTGGTAAAAGTTTAAAGCTTATTTGGAAAAGTGATTTTGAGTATTTTGATAAAGTTTTGAGTCTTAAATGAGAATCTTTAAGACATTTTCAAATGAGAATATTTGAGTCTTAAATAAAAATCTTTAAAACGTTTTCAAATGAGAAGTTTTGAGTCTTAAATGAAAATCTTTAAGACTTTTTTAAATGAGAATCTTTGAGTCTTAAAGGAGAATCTTTAATACATTTTCAAATTAGAATCTTTAAGTCTTAAATGAGAATCTTTAAGATGTTTCCAAATGAGAATTTTTGAGTTTTAAATGAGAATCTTTTAGACATTTTCAAATGAGAATCTTTAAACCTTAAATGAGAATCTTTAAGACTTTTTCAAATGAAAATCTTTGAGTCTTAAATGAGAATCTTTAAGACGTTTCCAAATGAGAATCTTTGAATCTTCAAATAAAAATCTTTGAGTGTTAAATGAGAATCTTTGAGGTGTGAAACCCAAAATTTGTTGAATGTGAATCTTTGAATTCATATGAGAATTTTTGAATTTCAAATGAGAATCTTTGAAGTGTGAAACTCAAAATTTGTCGAATGTGAATCTTTAAATTCAAATGAGAATATTTGAATTTCAAATGAGAATATTTGAATTTCAAATGAGAATCTTTGAGATATAAAATCCTAAAGTTTGCTAAGATGTGAATCTTTGAACTAGAATGAGAAGCTTTGAGCTTTTCGATGTGAATCTCCAAGTTCAAACAAAAAAGCTTAAACTTTTGGATGTGAATCTCCAAAATTCAAATGAGAATCTTTAAATGTTGGATGCGAGTCTTGTAATTTGTAAATGCGAATCTTGAGATCTTGCAAATTTGAATCCTTATGAAACTGAATTTTAAGAATCAAATTTCAATGAACCCTTGCGAAGCTAAAAGGTTTTTGCGAATCTGAACCTTTGATTTTCGAACTCAAATTATGAATCTTTGAGTGTCCATTACAAATTTTATCAAATCTGATCTACGATTCCTCTGGACATGATTGTCGATGAGTAATTTATTTTTTCAAAAGTTGTGAGCCTTTAATTAGAAGAGCTTTGTTTATTTTTTTCGTTGAGCTTCTGATTAGAGAATTTTTTTTTTCAAAGTCGTTGAGCCTCTCTTTAGAAGAGCCTTTTATTTTTCTAAGTTGTTGAACCTTTGCTTAAGGGAGTCTTTATCTTTTCAAAAGTTGTCAGCCTCTGCTTAGATGAGCCATTATTATTTTTTTTTTCCAAAAGTTGTTAGCCTCTACATATGGGAGTTTTGTGCCATTTAGCAAGTTTTAGTGTCTGATAAAAAAATTAAAAAAAACAAAAAAAAAATGTCAAGCTGATTATCTAGATATGAGGGATGTCTACGTCTTTGCACGATTTTTGTTGTACAGAAACTGTGCAAAGAGGGACAACTGTAGACACCTCATTTTGTCCGGGGTTTTTTGTCAATTAAAACCAATCTAAGTTCGATTGTAGGGATTTTTATTCATTTTTATTTCATATTTTTATTTCGTATTTATCATTTTTTTTAATTTTTTTTTATGGTTTATTTATTGTATTTTTTTCTTTTCTCCATTATCTGATTAATTAATTAAAAAAAAAGAGAGAGAAAAGCTAAAAGATCGAGATTAAGCTTGATGATTGTGATGATTTCTATTTAGATGCTAATCAGAATTGAATTGAAATTTTATCAATATGATTTTATAAATCATTGTGATTCACAGCAACGAAGAGAAACAAAGGATCAGAGGAAATCAGGGACAAAAACACAGAAGAAAATATATCCAATTTCTAGAATGATTCCTAGAAAACTCGTTCCCAGCAATCCAATTTGTCAGCCTTTTGAGCAACGGGCATAGACCAAAACCCAAACAGTTCAACCATAAACTCCTAACTCAATTCTGTCGATGGCATCCCTCGCGTGCTTCTCCAATCTCTCCCTGCTCCTCCGTGCTGCCAAGATATCACCCTCTCTTCATCTCTCCTCAAACTTGATTGCGAAATTCACCCATAAACTAGTGACTACTGTTTCTTCTTTCCTCATCTTTAAAAACGGTGGGAGTTACAGTTACATGCGTCACTGCACAGGTGGCGGACGTTGTACTGGTGGACCAAGAGGAGAAGATTTGGGTGTTGAGAGTTGGTGTGATATGTGGAGGCCCATCGACGGAGCGTGGGATTTCTTTGAACTTTGCTCGCTCAGTACTTGATCACATACAGAGAGAGGATTTGCATGTGAGCTGTTATTATATTGACTCTCATCTCAATGCCTATGCAATATCCTCTACTCAGGTATATTCCAATGCTCCTTCAGACTTTGATTTTAAGCTGGAAAGCCTTGCCCAAGCTTTCCAGTCTTTGTCTGAATTTGCTGAGCATCTAGCTGTCTCAGTGGACAGAGTTTTCCCTGTTATACATGGTCGTTTTGGTGAAGAGGGTGGCATTCAGGAGTTATTGGAAAAAAATAATGTTCCATTTGTTGGCTCAGGATCCAAGGAGTGTCGTCAAGCATTTGACAAGTATGATGCCTCCCTGGGCCTTAGCAAGCATGGGTTTGTAACAGTACCTAGTTTCTTACTGCAGGGAAGTGAAGTGAATGAATCTAAATTATCAAAATGGTTTGCACGCAACCAGTTGGACTTAAACTCAGGGAAAGTTGTGGCCAAACCAACAAGAGCAGGGTCAAGCATTGGTGTCACAGTTGCATATGGAGTTACTGATTCACTTAAAAAGGCCAAAGAAATTATTTCTCAGGGAATTGATGATAAAGTCTTTGTTGAATTGTTTCTTGAATGAGGGAGTGAATTTATAGCCATTGTTCTTGATGTGGGTCATGGTTTTGATTGCCAACCTGTTGTGCTACTGCCAACTGAGGTGGAGCTTCAATTTCATGGCAGTGGTGATGTAAGGGAGAAAGATGCAATTTTCAATTACGTAAAGAAGTATCTTCCCACACAACAGGTTAAGAAGGGATCAGGATTCGCGCATTTTTTAGCATGCGACCTGACCCGAGCGTCAGCTTATTTCTGACCTGTGCTTGACCAACTTATCTATCGATCCTTGGAGCCCAGCTGCCAAGCTACATCCCTCAAACTGTTCTTTGTGCCTGGAGGCGAGCCACGCCAAATCCCTCGAGTCGAGCTGTTCTTTTTTTTTTTTTTGGTATTTTATTTATTTGTTTATTTATTTATTTATGTCTTATTTATTTTTAGGAGTATTTTTTGCATGTTTTAATTTAATAAAAATAAAATAAAATAATAAAAATTTTTAAAAAAAATATTTTTGAGGAAAAATTGAAAGTATCAATTTTTCTTAAAAATAAAATTTCTAAAAATATTTCTAATTTTTCAAAAATATTTTTAAGGAAAAGTTGAAAGTATTAATTTTTCTTGAAAATAAAATTTTTGAAAAAAAGCATTTTAGTGGAAAAGTTAGAAGAGCCAATTTTTCTTAAAAATAAAATTTTAAAAAATATATATTTTTAAGAAAAAGTTGAAAGTATCAGTTTTCTTTAAAAATAAAATAAAAAAACCTTAAAATGCTTTAAGAAAAAATTGAAAGTATCAATTTTTTTTGTATAAAAGCATGAGTTTTTATTTGATAAAACACAAAAAAGACCTATATTAAAATCATCCATTTTTCTTTTTGTCCTTTTGAAAAAATTTTAATGTTAAATGATCCGATGATGGAGTTTCTGCAAGTGAAACAATAATTTTTTTGTATACTCTTGAGGTGAGAGAATTTTCTTAATTTTCTGTCAAAAGTATTAAAGTCAATTAAGGATAATTTCTAATAATTAATTATTTGGTAATTTTTAAGGCTTATTGGATAACACGAAATCGAGTTGGTACCATCTTTCGATGGGGGTTGTGAGGGTGCTATAACCTTTCCCACATGTAATCAAACTCCTGAATCCTGTTCTGATTTACAGATCCGAACCTATTCTTTTAGGGACCCTTAATCAAGCTTAGGAGCTCCTTAAAAAGATAGATTCTTTAGGTGACCAATCACACCTAAACAAAAAAGATTGATGATGATTCCTAAAGTCAATGTCTAGCGATAAATCTTCAGATCTATATGTTATGACACATACGACCACACGCATATTCTTCAGTCTTCATTCCTCAGGCAACCTGTTTGTCTTTGTCATAGCAACAACCTTTGCTCCAAGTGCTTCGGCCTATACCGATATTATTGCAAATTTAACTCGTGACTATGCCTGGACGGTGATTCGGTGAAGATCAGAAGCGAAAGTTCACACCGACTCTTACAATCATGACTGCTTAAATATAAAACAACATTTTTTAAGCAACCAAGAAACTTTGAATTACCCTTTGAACTGCGAAGCTTGAATTCAAATCCAACAAGCATCAGGATCAAGTTATCAATCAACTGCATGACAAGGGAAATAGCCTTCTTTTACAGATTGTGATAAGCCACAAGTGTATGGAACCCTCATACGTATACAAGCATGAGTAAGTGCATAGATATTCAGTTTGTAACTGCTAACCTGAGGAGGGTTGATAATGGGGGTACTCAACAGACTTCCATAAACACCACCGTTGGATATCGTAAATGAGCCTCCAGCCATTTCATCAATTGATGTGGTCCCATCGTTTGCCTTCTTTGCAAGGCTGTAGATTGTGTTCTCTATCTCAGCAAAATTCATCTTATCAGCATCACGGACAACTGGAACAACAAGTCCCTCGTAGGAAACATAAAGAAACAAAAAGCTTAACATAGAAGAAATGGTAAGGGAAAAAAGAGAAAACAAAGTTATTGAAGGAAGGCCATGAATGCTTATTGACCGTTTCAAGAACAAATCATTTCATACTTTAACAAATTCTGACATAAATCCCAACTTGACACCATGTTAAAAGCATCCTTATAATCAGAGCGAAGCTTCATCAAATTAGTCCTGCAAAGAGAAGCAAATCAATAAGACAAGAAAACAAATCAAAAGAATCAGCTTCATCACGAGTACTACTTAGCCTTTATAAGCTGATCTTATTAACTTCATAGAAAATTTGTATCAAAAAAGGGGAGCAAATAGTTCAGTACAGACCAAAATAGAAATGTTCACAAAGTGAGGTAGCATAGGCAGTCAGCAGGATGCCTAACACCTGATACAAAGAACTAAAATATGAGGGAAAATTGAACTCACATGTCCACTTCATTGAACGTTGTCAACATTGCAAAAGTATTCTGAGAATCTTTCAATCGTGTAGCAACCCGCTTCCTAAGCCTTGTCATAGGAACCTGTAATCATAAAGCCATACACTCAGAATTATTTTCTAAGATGCTTACATCATTTTTCACCAAAGCTAATATTTGGATTTAAACAGAAAATGAAAAGGCTTACTCTTCTTTCCCTCTCCTTGGGTGGAGGTATAGGTTCAGTAGCAGTTCGCTTTGGAGGTGGTGGAGAAAGGGCTGTAGGCTTCTCCGCAGAAGGAGAAGCTTCAACTTTAGCTTTTGGCTTATCCTGCTTTACAGTTTCAGTTGGAGATGGCTTTTCTGATTTCTTTTCAAAGGGAGTAGCAGGTGGTACACCCTCAGCACTCTTTGAAATGACAGCAATCTTAGTACCTGGTTCCAGGTACCTCCTTCCTTGGTTACATACTTTCAAGAATTATGACATTAACATTTAGGATCCAAATTTTTCTTTTTTTTTTTTTTTAAATTATTCAGCTTCAACTTTATAATCGATAGAATTTTAACACTTATATAACTTTAATTAAATTGTTTCTCTCAAACTATATAAACCCTAACAACCAATCTTTGAAATTTTTAAAGAAACCAAAACTAATGGTATATCAATTATAGAGACCTACACCCAATTTGTAAGTTCATTGACTCGAAAGTCTCACTATTTTATCTCATAAAAAGGATCTCATAAGATTATATTTAAGTTTTTATTTATATATCATAACAGATTCTCAAAATCTTTTAAGAATAAACTCTCACGTTAAAACTTGACGGCCCTATTAAGGCCAATACAAAGTATAGACAAAACTACAGTCATATCACACATAGAATCAAAATTAAACCAAACATTGAGATTCTAAAGGTGGCTTTCATTGTATAGCAATTAGCCCCCACAGGACTTTGGAGGTGACTCTTATAATGTAGACCTTAGCTTTCATTTGACTGGTAATTACTTTGATACTATTTATGAAGACCCATATCTAACTTGTGAGGTATTGTCTATTTTGACTTGAAGATCTCATAGTTTTATCTCACAAAAAATATCTCACAAGTTTAGGTTTAAACCTCTATTTATATATTATACAAGATCCTTATAATCTTTTAATATGGGATTGAGGTATCACAAACTATTTTCGTTAAAGCTTGATGTCTCTGTCCAGCCTAACATAAAGTACAGACATATCCATAGAACTGTACACACAAAACCATAGAATCAAAATCACTTCAAACATTAGAATTCTAGATGTGACTCCTATCGTGAAGCACTTAGTTCCTATCCAACTGGCAAGCACTTCAATACCATTTGTGGAGACTCACACTCAACATGCGAGGTATTATTAGCTTTAATTTTAAGGTCTCACAGTTTCTTTTCACAAGAAGTACCTCACAAGTTTAGATTTAAACCTCTACTTATATATCATAACAAATCTTCAAAATCTCTCGATATAAAATTGAGGCAGACACCAACTCTACAAAAAAATGGTAAACCCGAAAGATGAATAGTTGGAATACCTTGTGAATTTCAACCATGTTCCACAAATTTTTAAGATTTATATGAAGAAGATATCTCTGAAGATTTAATGGTAACCAAATTATTTCTTAACAATCTTCTATTTTTTCTATTTTTTCTTACCATTTTAAATTATAGATATAAATGAAAAACACATATTTTATCAATCTTTTCAATTTTTATTTTCACTCAATATTTCAACTGAATGCTCCACTGTATACTATTTTTACTATTATTTGTTATGATTTTGTTCTACTTATGTTCCTTTTGGTTGAAATGCAGAAACTGTTTTAGGTTTTGTGAACAACATGCTTTTTTTTTTTTTAATACTCATTACCTTCGTGAGATATATGTTTTTTTGGGCTAATTCAAAACCTATTAAAAAATATTTCCTCATTTACATAGAATCTCATCAAAAAAAAAAAAAAAAAGCCAAATTCTTGCTTTATTATATTTGCACATATATATATATATATATTATTACTTATCAATATAAATTTTTAATAAACTATTCATTAATTTCTATTTTCTGGTTTGTTATCTTAATGTTTTATAATTTAACTCTATATATTCTAAGTTTGTTAATACTTATTAAATAAAATAACAATTTTCTTTGCTTGTTTTATTACTTTACTGATTTGTTTTTCTATGATGATAAGTGTAAAAAAATAAGTTAATTTTGATTAACAATGCATACATATCTGTATTAAAATTTATGTTGACAAAATACTTTCAAATAAACACTATGATTGCAGAGACTTCTGACGAATTTTATAAAGACACATCTGCAATATGTTAAAATTCTGAGAACTACATTTCTTAAAAGTTTACTTCCTACTCAATTTAGAATGCGTTTAGTTAAGATCAATGGTAAACTATACTTTAAAAATGATTGGAAAGTTTTTGTTGATGCACATTGTTCGCAATCTGATGATGTATTCATCTCGAAATACAACAATGATTCATTATTTATGTTGTTCTATATGCTAAAAGTGGTATTGTTATCACAAGAAACATTCTTCAAGCAAGAATAGATAATACCTTAATTTCAAATATTTTTCATTTATAAACAATGTAATTATTTTATGATATATTCTTAAGATTCTATTTTTTTTTATTTTCATAGATGAGAAAAAAAAAATTAATGCAGGCGTCTTCTTCAAATATCATAAAAAACGTAATGAGTGAATTGTTACCAAAAAAAAAAGAAAAAACTACCAAAGTTATTTATTTTGAGCATACAACTTTTAAGTTAGATGAGCATGTCAAAATTAAGGCCGATGAAGATGGTAAACTTGAATCTGACAACAATGGTTTTGACTATCCATCATTTGAACTTACCATGACAAAAACAAATGTTTAATCATCCTATGTCTTCGTAATTAATACAGCATATATAAACTACTTTCATATAAGTTCTATTACGTTTAAATAATTTTAATTTTTGAATATCACATTTATTAATTATTGTTAGCCATTGTTTGTTAAACTATTTTTAAAATTCAGCATATATCTACCACATTCTATAAACAATACCATCCAACACATAACGTCGATATCATCTTGATGGTCTCATAGGTTGGTCTGTTCGATTTAAGTATTCAACTAAAAATAAAATTTTCTTAGATGGATTGAGAAAATTTGTGACAAATAATCATTTGAACTTTAGTTATCATTCTTTTTTTTCAAATGGTTGAAGAAGACATGTTCTATGTTTTTATTAAATGAAATTAGATATGTAGAACTTAACATATACTACTTGAGCTTTTGTCTAAACTCTCATGTTAGTTGTTAGTTGCATTTTGATCTTTTTATAATGACATCTTTAAGTAGCTATGGTTTGATGTCTAACCTTATTCCCTGTTTTATATGCTACATATTCAGTACGCTATTATTCTATTAAATTTATTTTCTTTAGCAAGGAGCAATTCCTGCAGCTTTTGTAACTTAACTTTTTTTTAAATAAATTTTATAATAACTATATTTGTGAAAGATTATTACAATAACTTAACTTTTCCATATATAGGACAAGACAATCTATTGAAATTGAGTCCTGTTTGTTAGCTAGCATCTTAAATTTGTGTTAGATTTTGCAATTTTAAGCTTAGATTTTTTTATTTTTCTAAAATTATATTCGATAGACATAGATACGAGGTCAGACCTTATAAATATATATGAAAAACCTTAGAAAAAAAATTAAACATACCCGCATCCACACATAGCTATTACCCGATGCTCATCTCCAAGCTCGAGTAATAGAGATTCTGAGTATCAAAACGCAAAAGTTAGGTCCAAAACTTGTTATACATAGTTAAAAAAAACTTTAAATTCAGACATTTTAGGAATTTTAAATTAAGTTGATGATTGTAAGTTACCCATAAGAGATGCTTCCAATTTTTGATTTGCCATTAGAACTTCATCAGTTGGATTGAGAACACCTCCTTCCAATGAACGTTTTTGGCTCTCCATTACATTGTATGAGATAGAGATAAAAAAAACAAACAAAATTCCTTCAACAGTCTTTGAAATCACAGGGCCTTTCCCTTCCTTCATTTTGTCAAATACCTTGACCACCAGGTTCCTTAGGAGACCTGAATAGAAGTACCAAAACAAGAGCCATTTCAGCAGAAACAAGTGTAAACAAGAGATGAATCATCTCAATGAACTATTCAAGAAACTAGTGCAAATGGTTTCTGAGAAAAATTATAAACAATATATGGGGTGACAATGGAGTAAAAATCCCAGGTCTGCCATAGAAAATAATGGTATCTGCTTCAAAACTTCAGTTGCTGGTTGAATTAAAGAATCATACTTTCCACAAGTATAGGGACGGTAGAATATTATCTTTACTAATAGGAAGGGACATAACATGTATTAACAAGGTGAAATAGAATAACTAGCAGGCTCAGTTTTCAAGCATCAGCACTTTCTATAATCTTTTTTCTACAATTCCAATGTCAAAAAATATTGGCTTCATAAATAAAGAAGACATGCATCTCTCTTTGTCGAGCAAAGTTTAAATGCCCTTTGCTTCGCTGCTTAATAAAAAAAATTAAGAAGACTTGGACCGACCTTTTCTTTTCCCATGACAAAACTTGGGCTGAAACTGGCTTAGTTTGAATAATTTAACTTTGATAAATGTTCTACATGGGCCTAGGCAGAGTCCATCTCTCATGACCCTTTCCTCCATTATCCAAACTCACAAAGGAAACTTGGGCTTTTGTGAAATCACAGTCCATTTCTGCCTAAAGAAACTTGAGCTGCTAAAAGAAGTCCACTAGATCCAGCTCATTACTGAAAAGGCGACTAATAGATTGATAATATCTAAATGGGATAGGCGATAGGGCATTGTCCATCTCTCCCAAAGCCTTTTCCAAAACTTGGGTTTCTAAGAAATCCACAAGCAGCGCCTTACTCAGAAGAGTTTAGACATTAGATGGTGGTTTCATTCAACTAATATTCTAATTCATTTCTGTCCCAGTCCTTTCCCTTCTTGGAGGGGAACTTGGGCCAGTAACAAATCATTAAAGCTCATTAGTCAGTTATAAAATACTCAAGAGATGAAGAGAACCCAAATTGTGAAGTTTATTCACACTATTTCAGAAGGAAAGAAGTCCTCAATCCTAATATTACTATATAAGACTATACATAGAATTGATCTCCATAATTAATAAGTAAATTTTGAGTTGATTTGGACCATAACCACCTTCTTAACCTAACAACTAATTGACCATTCACTAGATTTTGTTTAATTACATTATCAAAACTTGTACAATCACAATCTGTAAAATGAACATGAAATGAGAAGGTTGACCAGAGATTTCAGTCTTCAATTCCCAACTAATGCAAATATCCAATGACGATCAAATATAAGAATCAAAGGAGCTTGCTTGCAAACTCTTCTCCATCCTCTTCCTTCATTGAAGAATGAGGATGGGATGCATCATCTGCTAGGTCTCTGAGCTCTGACAAACTTCTTCCAAGCTGAAGAGCTACCTTCACTTCAAATAATTCCCCATTTTCCCTCTCATCTGCTTCTCCTTCTTCCAGGGTTGATTCTATGGTTTCTCCCATGAACCTCAAGAATCCAGCAGAGTTCCTATACATTTCAAACACCATCCCTATCTGCCCACCATGCTCCAAACTGTTAGCGACAACGGCCATAGCTCCAAAAACTACACTGAGAATTGCAGCAAATGAGCCATAGAAAGATGATCCCATCAAGGCAGAACCAACTGCAGCTATGCCAGTGAACAAGGGGCCAGATATGGCTAGGATTTTATTGATTTTCAAGACTAGTTTACTTAGTCTCATATATTCTTCAGTGTCTTTTCTCTTCACAATCCCAACAATTTCTTTCATTTCTTCTTCAAGATTCTCATTCCACCCATTTTTTTCAACTTTCCTGACAAGCTTTTCCTGTTGAGTACTCCTCTCTTCTGGCCACCACACAGCTGGTTGTACAAGTGATGGAAATTTATCAAGCATGGTTCCAAGTAAGGGAAGTGGATAAGCTTCATCCAATGCCAAGACTTTCTCCATTGCAGCTTTCACATCATCCCAATCTGGGTTTCCAATAGCAATGTTTGTCTTTATCTCCTCGTGAAGCTTCTTAAACAATCTTGAAGCATTTCTTTGTTCTTCAGCCAGCTGAGAAGGCTGTATCTTATTCATCACCAGCAAAACCCCGGTTGCTGCCATGTAAAGCAAACTGGAAGATAGCTTCAGAGCCATAAATGATGCTCCACTTCCATTAACAGCTGCAATTCCAGCCATTGTTGCAGCTGTGGTTGTCATTCCATTGACAGAATTCAATAGAAGCCTGTTCCAGTTATCACGCTGTGCTCCAATATTCTTGTGCATTTCAACTCTACCTGCTACAATATCCATTATAGCATACGTCTCTTGCAAAACCATTGAATTGGAGATTTCTTCCTTGTTTGCGCCGTTATTTTCAAGTTTAAGCTTAATTTCTATCAGGGGATTGGTTGTTTTGAAGGTTATCAACCCTTTTCTTTGGTTAAACTCATCATTGATCAGGGGCTTTCGAACTGAAACATTTGGGTTATATAGAGTGGCTCTGGTTTTTCTAAGGGAAGCTGAGGAAGAACAGTAAGAGACAAATGGTGAAGAAGTTTGAAGAATAGCCATGGTCACTCTCCTTGGGATTCAAAGGCTTTTTGCTGTTAAATGAGTGACAATCAGATGCATTTATGGACAATAATTTAAGGTAGTGGGTTATTTATATCATTTATTTCCTGGATTTTCCACAGAACTGGTCCATGGTTTCAGTTTCAACACGACAGAATTTGACTTTCGGTGTGGTTATTGAGGTGTAGAACGGGTTAAAAAACTTCACTTAATGGGTCAGTTGACATTTTCCTTGCTAAAGAAAAGTGTGAACAAATGTGAACTCATTGACATTTTTCTCTTGAAGCTCTTTCTTTCTGGCTGACCAATTACCTTTTTCCACAAAGTGGAAATGCCAATGCTTTCCAAAAATCCCAACACTGTAATATTAGTTTAAGAGGAAGTTGGTGAATAAAAGGACAAAACAAGTTTTGGTAATAAGATTTTAAGTATTAGAATAATGGTATTAAATTAAGATTTTATGTTTGTGATTGAATCACATCAAAATTTTATAATAATTCCATGATATCAAAACTTGAAACAAGCTCCTAAAAACCATGATTTACGTCTATTCAAACTGTTACTTCCACCATTTTTCCTCGTATTATGAGTTGATAACAAAATACTCGAGAAAAAGGTGCTAAATAAAAGTATCTTGGGTCAAAATTTTGATTTTTGACCATCCATGGGTAAATCTTGATTTCTTTCTCCTTAGAGCAAATACACGAGTTTATTTTTTTTTCTTTTATTTTGCATGGTCATGAACAAACAGCCGAATGAGTTCTACCCTTTGAAACCCAAAGTTCTGCCATTCAAGGAAACCAGGATTTGTCAGTCTATAAGACTGAAAGAGGGAGAATTGACGCGCTTTCACATGAAAACAACAATGGAAAATTACTAACCACAGGACCACACGATTATTTTTCTGTCTTCATTCCTTAGGCAACGCGTTTGCCTTTGTCATAGCAACAACCTTTGCTCCAGGTGCTTCAGCCTATACCAATATTATTGCAAATTTAACTCGTCACTATGCCTAGACGGCAGCGACCGTCCAGGCGTGGACGGTGATCGGTGAAGATCAGAAGCAAAAGTTCACTCCGACTCTTCAATCATACATGAATCTAAGCCTGAATTCTCATGTTGGAGAGTGAAAAAGCTTGAATAACCACCATACATGAATATAAGAAGAAACAGCCTGTCCATGTCTGATTTCCATATTTAATGTCACAAATGTCGATTTGCGGATAAAACAATAAACCCAAGTTGCTAATATGTGTACCCCTTACATCTGGATTTAAAGAAAGAAAAACATATTTGCAATACAGAAACTAGAAATCTGTATTTCAATACTCGATGTAGTTCAACAGTGGCCGGCCGCAATGTCGAAACTCGTAAAGGGTGAATCAACAAATGAAACCCTACAAAACTTCAGGCATTTATTCTTGTTCATTTAAAGAGGACGTATACATCCAATTCTAAGCGTGTCAGAAAACCATGAAATATCACTACAGTTGATTAGGCGTTTCAAACATCAAGTAGCAGCCTGCGAGGGTCTTCAACAACATCCTTAATACGACGCAAGAAGAAGACAGCCTCTCTTCCATCAATCAGCCGATGGTCATAAGTGAGGGCAATGTACATCATTGGTCTCGGGACTACGTTACCTCCAACAACCATTGGTCGGGACACTATTGAGTGCATACCCAAGATAGCTGACTGCAAAAAAATTGTTTTAATGTATGAATATTCTCTTTCTGGTCAAAAACAAAAGCTAAATATAGAAACTAAGAAGAGTGAGCAAACACCTCTTACCAATTCGGATAAGTCAGAAGTGTATGGAACCCTCATACATATACAAGCATGTGTAAGAAGTGCATAGATATTCAGTTTGTAACTACTAACCTGAGGAGGGTTGATAATGGGGGTACTCAACAGACTTCCGTAAACACCACCGTTGGATATCGTAAATGAGCCTCCAGCCATTTCATCGATTGATATGGTACCATCATTAGCCTTCTTTGCAAGGCTGTTGATTGTCTTTTCTATCTCAGCAAAATTCATCTTATCAGCATCACGGACGACTGGAACAACAAGTCCCTGGCATGAAAGATAAAGGAACAAAAAGCTTAACATAGAAACATGAATCATATTCTTCTTTTTCCAATTTTCAATGAACGTGCAGGGATGAGGTCCATGCATATATTTGTCAATACTGGCGTATTATGATTAGCAGGGTAACTTTCAAGACTAGTAACATAATGAGAAAAGACTTGTATAATCTTCTAGATATCTCATTTTCTCATTTGTCATGAAATAAAATAAAGCAGCTTCAGCTCAGTAAATAAAGAAAACAAGTAAAAAAAACCTTCAACAAATCTATAATGTTCTTTAATTGTCAAAGGACAAATCTCATCTTGAGCCTATTGATTACTACTCGTTTCAACTTTACAAATTGCTCTATGTTCACATGAAATTTTTATTTTCAATTCACTTTTGCATGCATAAAACCCACAGAAATATAAGCTTCTTTGCAAACTAGCCGGTAAAGAATGCTGATAGAAACACTAAGAATGCAGGTTTCAGCAAGCCCTTAAATGGCTAAATTGCAATTTGGCAAATCAAAGAATGTAAAAGACAACCACAAGAAAGATTACCTTTGGAGTACCAACAGCAATGCTGATATCTATATAATCCCTATAAATAATATCATCCCCGTCAATTACCGCATTTACAATAGGCTGATGCTGAAGTGCACTAACAGCAGCCTGATACAACAAAATAGAAAATATGGTAAGAGAAAAAAGAGAAAGCAAAGTTAGTAAAGGCAGGCCATGAATACATTTGTTAGCATTTCAGGGACAAATCATTGCATACTTTAACAAATCCTGACATAAATCCCAATTTGACACCATGTTTCTCAACAAAAGCATCCTTATAATCAGAGCGAAGCTTCATCAAATTAGTCCTGCAAAGAGAAGCAAATCAATAAAGACAAGAAAACAAATCAAAAGAATCAGCTTCATCACGAGTACTCCATAGCCTTTATAAGCTGATCTGATTAACTTCATAGAAAACTTGTATCAGAAAAGGGAAGCAAATAGTTCAGTAAAGACAAAAATAGAAATGTTTGCGAAGTGAGGTAACACAGACAGTCAGCAGGATGCCTAACACCTGATACAAAGAACTAAAATATGAGCGAAAATTGAACTCACATGTCCACTTCATTGAACGTTGTCAACAATGCAAAAGTATTCTGAGAGTCTTTCAATCGTGTGGCAACCCGTTTCCTAAGCCTTGTCATAGGAACCTGTAATCATAAAGCCATACACTCAGGATTATTTTCTAAGATGCTAACATCATTTTTCACCAAAGCTAATATTTGGACGCAAACAGAAAATGAAAAGGCTTACTCTTCTTTCCCTCTCCTTGGGTGGAAGTATAGGTTCAGTAGCAGTTCGCTTTGGAGGTGGAGGAGAAGGGGCTTTAGGCTTCTCTGCAGAAGAAGAAGCTTCAACTTTAGCTTTTGGCTTACCCTCCCTTACAGTTTCAGCTGGAGGAGATGGCTTGGAAGCAGCTTTTCCCGATTTCTTTTCAGAGGGAGCAGCAGGTGGTACACCCTCAGCAGACTTTGAAATGACAGCAATCTTGGTACCTGGTTCCACAGTATCTCCTTCCTTGGCTACATACTGGCAAGAATTATGACATTAACATTCAGGATCCAGTCCGATCCCCTAGCTCCAAGAAATGAGAAGGTAGGAGTCTAGGAATGACCAGCAACCTAGACATTTTTGTGCATGCATGTGAGACACAAAGATACAGGTTTATTGATATATTACCTCTTGTATCACACCATCGTGGGGGCTGACAACATCAATTGTTACCTGATGAAAATAAACACTGCAGGTATTAGGGGTATAAACCCATGTCTTCTCAATAGAAGAAAATGTAAAGAAAGTACCTTATCTGTTTCTATTTGAGCAATTGGTTCATCAGCTGCTACTCTATCACCAGGTTCTGCACTCAAAAATTTAGATACATGCTCAATCAAGCACTTACAAACATGAAGATGAATGCCTACTGAATGGATGGATATTACAATTGTAGAACATACTTTTCAAGAATGTTGCCAAAGTGCCATCAGTAATTGATTCTCCCATAAAGGGGACAACAGCATCAACCAGATCCCCTTCATCACAAGGAAATTGAGAAAGTAAAAAAACTTTTAATAATGTAATAATGAAATAAAAAGGAAGGCATGGTTGTTTTCAAGCAGACACCTGTTCCTCATCAATATGTACTCTTTGCAAGTACAAATTGAAAAATGAACTAAAAATGCCAAAACGATGGAGTGAAAGTCTACTAGCATAGAAGTTCTACTTCAAATCATTATATAACTAAATTACAGCCAACTTTTCATAATATTGATTTCGCACTTTTCCAGAGGTTGAAAGAAATTCTGAAGAATTTTCTTATTTTGACATTAGTACCAACTGCTAAGTGTAAAACGGGTTTGACATTGGTTAGATGTTACTGGTCTATTCCAGATAAAGTGGTTATCAAATGAACGATTATAATGCACATGAATTAAATTCTTGCAAAAACCAAAAAGACACAACCATGTATTAATAACCATTTAAAAAAACCAATAAGATAAAAAAATAAAAAGCTGATAGCCATTGGCTAAATAAATATCATTAAGGAAATTAATCAATATTATACCATCTCCAGAAGAGAAAGGCCTGCACGATTTTTGCATGATAGCCTCCAATTGAATGCTAGAAATGACATCCCTGTACATAAGAAAAGCTGTCAGGGGAAAGCAGTGCTAAGGAATGGCAAACTGATTTAAAAAATTGAAAAAAAAAATCATGAGCATTGAATTTCCTTTTCTAATTGCCCCAACTTATCTAGTTTCTGGAAAAACAAAAATGAGATGGCCTACTTTGCATTGAAATGGACCTTTTATTAAAGATAGGTATGGTAATTTACACATCAAACATCAGATTAATCCAGAAGTCAACTCATACCCTCACTGTGTCAATTAATGACTAATGAGAGACAGTTTAATTCCTTAAATTGATATGCATTATTACAAGGTTCAGAGCCAACTAACCTTGTCTTTGTTAAACCAGTAGAACAGCCTATAATAATCATGAAATATGTCATTAATAACAAAGATAATCACTAAAGTTATGCCAACATGAGAAGAAAAACGCCCAAACGATTTACCTGGCAGAACAAGACGAGAGAAGTTCCGGACATGGACAATTCCTCTCAGTTGAAGTAATAGCATCTGTTCAAACACTTGAAATTTAAATCTTGTGATAACATTTACCAATTAATGATAAAAAGCCAAACCCAACTGATTAAAAAAAAACAAAAGTTTCCAATAGATTATTACTTTTACTACTTAGTCTTTTGCTTCCAGAAGCGAAAAAGCCATAAAGTAACAAATTTTTAAATTAATCAAGGTCAAATTTCAAATTTTTTGGAAAAAATAAGCATGGTTTTATCTTTAAATAGATTCAATAGAATCGAGATCAATCAAAATTCAAGCATGATTACCAAATCCAATTCATTTTCAACTGAATTATTTACCTCTTTTCCAGCATCGGAAGAAACTCTAGATGCTGAAACACCTGGCCGATTCGCCAGCAATGACTTCCCCAACACCTGAAAAAAAAAAAACACAAAAAAATAAAAAAAAAAAAACAAGTGCTTTAGCTAAATAAATTAAAATTTTTAAAAAAAGTTCTAACCGAAGCTGATGAGCCTCCGCTCGCAACTTTTCTCCTTAAAGCGCCCAGCATCACCGCTATTCAACCCCTTCTAATTTTTTTTTTCAAAATCAGAAGAAAAAAAAAATTATATATCAGCAATTAAAATGCAAAATCAAATAACTTAAATATTTTTCCAAAATTCAATATATTTACCAGATTTCAGTGTACAATCAAAATTAAGCTGAATAAAATAAGAATGAATGAGACGTGAAGGAAACAAATATCGAACAGAGAGAGAGGTTTGACCTGATTTTAAAGACAAATATGAGAATTGTCGAATACAGTATAATTAAAAAAAGTAGGGTTTTTGAAGAGAGAGGTGTTGCTGAGAGCGACCGCAAAGATGCGCGTTCAGCGAGGCCGCTGTATCCATTATTGCCAGTTCGATTACGTGGCATCTTTTTATTGGTAGATGCACGAAAAGTGCAGGTTCTTTTCTTCTCTTGACCGAGAACGAAAGAAATATCAAAACGACTGCAATTGAAGCAGTAAGGCTTTGGGCTTTTTTTGGGTTAGAAATCTGAATTTGGGCTTTATTTGGGTTTGGACATTTGAATTTTGGGCTTAATTTGGGTTAAAAATATTAGTTTTGGACTTTATTAGGTTCCAAATCAAACGTTTGGGCTAGATTTAGGTTCAAAAATTAAAAATAACTCAAAATAGAGTAAATGAGCTCAGATAAATGGTTCAGATTTTAAAATTTGGGCTTAAGAAGGAACAGCAAAAGACAGTTTTGGGCTGGCTCAATTAGAATTGAGTTGGATTGCTCAAGGTTTGGCCTAAGCAAGAATGGAAAGCTTGGGTCTAAAATTTTATTTTACTATTTAAAGGTTGTTATGATTTAAATCTCGATTATTAAAATTAAAAATTAAAAATTATATTCGAGAATTTTTATATTTTATATTTTTAATTTTTCAAAAATAATTTTTGTTTTGTAAAAAATGTATTTGATGAACAAAGACAAAAAAAATTTTCCAAAAATACAAAATAAGCAATTATGAAAATAATTATTAGTAATAATATCTAATTATAAATATATATTATATATTTATTAATTAATAACTTCCAAAATATTCACATATAGATTAACTTCTTAACTTACAAAAACACAAGCAAAAAAGTAATTAGTATTTCATGTTTTCATAATTGAAAATATCTTTTTTTTTTGTCATTTTATAATCCATTTTCATTTTTAATTTTCAATTATCAAATATGCTTTAAATCTTATTTTTTATTTTTCAAAAAATAAAAATAAAAAAAAAGGATTATGTGTTCTAAAATCAGACATTACCTAACATTTTATTAATGGATTACGTGGTTATTATCTCCAAAAATTTTTAGATCAACCTCTCATAGCCTTTTATATATATGTATATATATATATATATATTTATATTTATATATATATTAATTTGTTTTGGTTTGAACTTAATATTACATTGCTAAAGAAAACTATTTTAATTCCATTTAATAATTAAAAGTGATTATACAAATAAATTAAATTAAATCTCGAATTATTTAACTCTCTTTATTTATTTGTACATGTTGATGGTAGCATCTATAAAGTTGATGTTTATTGATGCTTATCAGCTTTATATTAGCTCATGAATAGGGTATTATCCCATATCCCATACCATGTTTTGACAGAAACTATAATTTGCATTATATATCTTGAAAATTAAATTTTCAGTTTTACTGATTGAAATGTATAATATATTTTGCTTCCACTGAAAAAATCAAGAAGTACGCACACAAGTGTGTGTGTGTATATATATATATGTTTGTTCAAAGAAAAAATATCGATGGAGTTTATTTTCTTCATGAACATAATTTGGATCAGACAAATTAAAAACATCAAATAACTTCATTATTAATCCTGATCATGCAGCTGCCACATACAATATTACATTTTCAATGTTATTCAATCATACATACTTGACTCATGATTAACGTTGTTAAGTAATTAAACTAGAAATTATAATAGTGATTATATGTTTGGGATTGCTGCATGTGACATTATCTTCTGCATGTCTTCACGGGAATCCTCCAAGCCCACCACCAGCCCCAGCTCCACCATGATATCCACGACCAGCACCTCTTTCAGATCCAGCAATACCACCTAGTCCACCACCTGCGAACCCTCCATGCCCACCTCCGCCAAGTTCACCACCTCCAACAAGCTCGCCACTGGCACCAGCACCCCCATCAAATCCAGCTCGACCTCCTTCACCTCATTCGCCTCCTTCACCTCCTAACCACCACCACCTCGTCCTCCTAAGCCAAACCAATCTCGGTCGACGATAAAAGTGGTCCTCATCGTCAAAACCTCCCGTGAGCTTCCTAGCACTACAAGTGGTGAAAACAACTGCACCAAGAAACAAAACAAGAAGAAGCTTAGAACAAGCCATCTTTGCTAATACTTGAAGTTAAAGATGATCTTGATGAGCTCGAACGAGGGTTTATATAGGGAAAATATGAAGCCATGGAAGCTTGGAGGAGACTACGGTTGAGGTTTTGAATTTTGCTTATCTTCCTAATGTAAAAGCCACGTTGGAAGAGTTAATGCAAGAGGCGAAGCTAAAGGAGGACTGGCAGTGCCATGGCACCCCCTAAAAATTTAGATAATAAAATATTATTAGAACTTGATAAAAAGTAAACTAAGGGTATTGATGGCTTAACGACTGTCTTTTATAGTGCGGTGCTTTTTGGATTTTCTTTGTCATTTGGGCTGTTTCATTCTAAGCTTTGTGAGTGAGGGCCGTTGAATATTGAGTTTAACTTTTTATATTTGGAAGTTTCTGTTATTTCTATGAGAATTTATCGTTGTTTTGACAGTTTGATGACCGGTGCAAACGTCAATAATCATTCCATCTTGATAAACAATTATCCATATCCTATTACCATATAATATAACAAAATATACATTCAAAATTTCTATTAACAATTTGTTATGACATTGTTTCCATAGCATATTTCAAGCTATTTTTATAAGCATTTGTCGTATGAACATTTTTCTATCAATCTATTAGATCTTGAAAAAAATAAATAATGAACCATACATTATAATGTCAGAAACAAATCATTTTTAAGATGATAAAAAAAAATTTATCATTGATAATTAATTAAAGATTGACAAATATTTTTATTTATTATGATAGTATACAATACTTTTAAACTAGTTATATATTCTGACTATGACTAAATTTCTTAATAATCAATTATAATGACAAACTAAATATTTTATTACAGTTTCTGTTTAACAACTACTATTTTTAGGAATTCTGTAACTTTAAAATGCTGATCTAACATTTTCTATTTAGTTTTATAGTAATTGCCAATTATTTTAACAAAGCTTTGTGCATTTAACAATACTAACTTTATATTAAATTATTCTATATTCTAATTAAATCAAATATCAATTAACTAAAGTGCTAAAAATTAATTTAATACATTGGGCGAAGTAGGATCCAATATTAATTTAATATAAAACTGACTCTCCAACCGGTACATAAAATGTGTAAATTTAACTTTTTTACATTATTTTATTATTTTTATTATTTCATTAACTATTTTTCATTTATTATTTCAGCTCAATTTAAAAATCCAAATTATATTGAAGCCCACTTTACTTTTTAACCCTAATTGAAATCCAAATCAATTATTTTATTGTTATATCTATACACCTTATTAATATATCTAGTCGACATCTCTTTAAAACTTTTATCAAAACAGGTTTTTTTCTAAATTCTTCATCCAATTCCCAATCTGATTATCTCTTTGCTTTAACAAAAATAAAATTTTCATCTCGACTGGTGTTGAACGGTTGAAACATTTTCTTGACTCTTAAAAAGAAAAATAGATAGTCAAATTAAGTTTTTTTATTCTTTTTTATTAGTTTACAATTAGTTTTATATTTATTTGTTAGATTGTTTTAATTTAATAAGCACCTTATTTTTAAACGTTTGCATTAATCTATTTTATTATTTTAATTTAATATATTTTTTTATTTGTTTGCATTGGTTTATTAGATTATTTTAATTTAATATGATGTTTATATTTTTATTTATTTGCATTGATTTATTACATTACTATTTTATAAATAGATATAAAATTTTTATTTTATTATACTTCTACTACAAAAATTCTTAATTGTAGTGACACTAAAATTTGGAGGGTTCATAAAAATGCCAATAATTTCTTATTTTTTTATTTTACTGGCTTAATAAAACTACATATAATAGTTTAATTTTTAAGGGCATTTTTAACCCACATATAATAATCTTATCTCACTCACTTAATAAAACACTCTTATTTGAAAGTTCACATAATAAAACACTCTTATCTGAGGGATCACATAACACATAACTTTGCCTCTCTTACGTGACTTAATAACATTCCTCTGCATCTTTCTCTTTTTTTTTTTTAAATCTCTTTACTCTCACTCTTAAATCTATATCTCTTCAATCTTTTACACTCTCACTCTCACCACTCTCGTTGATCTCTCTTCGATTGTTACAAGCTCTACTACAATCTCTATTACAAACTACCAATCTGTGCTACAAACTTTGATTTTCTTGCTAAAACTTCAATTTCCTTTGCTTGTAGCTAAGTATACACGTTCTACTTTTTTATTTTCATCTATTGTTTTTCAAAGTTAATGAATCTTTTTTTATTTTTTAAAATCTCTAATGTTTTTCTTTTAGTTTCAGCTTAAACGTTGTGCTAAAGTTCATCAGCACCAAGAATAAAAAAAGCTTTTCCATCGTCTCTTTCAAATCTTTACTCTAATCCAAATGATTCTAGAATCTCCATCTTAGAAGTAACTATATAACAAATCTTCTATTTGAAATATAGTTTTTGTTAAAGTTGTATAGTATTTTTTGTAGTTGATTTTATCTTGCTTCTTGTGTTATGTATATAAGTTGTTTTTTGTGTTTTACATATAAGTAGTTTTGTGGAATGTTTAGAACTATTAATTGTATATGGATTTTAAAATTTTGTGAACCTAGACTTTGGAATATTTCTACATAATATGTGATTAGATCAATTATATACTTTGGTTCCAATCATGGAGTGGAATTTGGTAGTTTATAATCTTATAGCTATAACAAATAAAGTAGCCAATTTGGAAGAAAAAGTAGCTAAAATGTTAGAGTTGGAAGAAAAAGTTTCAAAAGTGAGCGAACTTGAGATCACAATAACTTTACTTAAAAAGGTGAATATTGAGTTAGTTAAATTTGTAATTGCCATGCAAAAAAGATTTTCACATGTGCTAAGCATAGACATCAACTCAACTGCTATACCAATGGGTAATAGACAGGTAACAACAATAAGTAGTATTATTGATTAACAAATAATAATTGTTTACTAATCTAGAAGTTGTATTATATTGTGGGTTTCATATGCATCAAGTTC